CCTTCTGTCCTATCCCCTACAATTTATCTGTCTCATCCCTGTGTCCTATCCTCATCCAGCTACTTGTTCTAATACTGTTCTCTACACCTACCTAATATCAGTCTCCACTTTTCATTCCAGTCCCATTCTCCTGCCCAGACAGTCCCAGGTACCCCAGTTCCAGTCCCACCCAGTCCCAGTTACAATCTTCTTGTTCAGTCTCTTCTAATTTTTGTTAATCCTTTCCACCCTACCTTACAGGCCAGTGCTAGAACTTTTAAGAAAAGGTACCCATAGCATTTCATTATAAAGAATAAACCACATCTTTTTCCTCAGCTTTGTTCTTAGAAATGGCTTAACAGTTGAGGCAGACATGTTCCTCATATAAATAATCAGTCTGAGACAGATACAAGCTTGTAAAATTTCAACATAGACAGTGGAAGTTAAAATTTGGTACAGTTATAGAGTGTGTGTGTATTATCCCACCGTCTTACTCATCTTCCAGTCAGCGTACAGGGTTTTGGCTATATGCATCTTATTAAAGTAATTGGGAGCTGCAGAGCTAAATCCCTGTGAGACCCTTTCAAAATGCATCCTTGTGTTTGTAAGATAACAATGAAGTTTGACCTGTGTTTTGTACCACTTAATTGAAAGAAGGACAGCATTTAATTGTTCACATTTCATTTATCACTGAACTGCCTCCGTGCTCAGCATCTCAGCTTTCCATTACAGCTCTCATTAATTATCTGAAAAAAGAAGATTGTTTTCCTGTCAGATAAATATTTTAGAACAACCCCCCTGAAACTGAAATAAAAGGTCACCTCTATTATTGCAAGTAAAGAATTTTTTAAAAGTTAATAGTTATATAGATTTCACAAGCAGAGTTTGAACATTTTTCGATTCAGAACAGTTTTGAAATTAAAATAAATTTGAAGACGTGTTCTTTATGTTTTGAACCTGAACAAACACACTATAAGTTTCCAGTAAACATTTTTTTTGAGATAATATGCTAAAGGCAAGTGAAATTATGTTGCAGCAGTACAACAAAGTACTTGGAATAACAGCACAGGAAACACTTATACTCTTCTATTATCAACTAAATGATTAAAACAAACAAGCAAACACCAGTCTGTCCAAGTATGTTAGCCATATTTATAAGTGTATGTAATGGACGGGGTTGTGGGTGGTCTGGCCTAATGTTTAGGCCACCAAGGGAGGGCCAGAAACAGGGCAGAGTCAAAAACTCAAGCCAAATTCAGGGTCAGAAATCACATACCAAGTTAGATCCAAAGGAAATCCAGAGGCAGAGTCCATAGGCAAAAGAGGAGAAACGTTTCAAAGGCATATCTACATTGTCAAAGGACAGCACTAAGGAGCCCTATAGTCAAGTGTGACACTCCCAGTCCACCCACACTAAACCCCAAATGGATGCAATTGGCATTTATACACATGCCTTTGTCTTCTCTGACACACCGGAAATCCAGCGTGTCGGAGCAGACTCAATTAATCAAGTCTGCGGAGAGCACACGAGCTGATATGCCTGGCGCTGCATCGCATGCATTTGTATAAACAGCGAAACGCACGTCAGCGCACAGAAAATGGCGGTGGTGCATTTTTTAATTAAAACACCTTTGATGCTTTTTCTTGGCACTGATGTGCATTTCACCATTTATACAAATGTATGCACTGCAGTGCCAGGAGCTTTTTAAAGCTCCTGGCACTGTGGCACATGCATGTGTACAAGTGCCCTTTAATGCAGAAATGCCAGTAAATGCACCCAAGCCACAGAGTTTCAACTGGCATGTGCCCAGCACCCCACTAAGGCAGCTATTACATATTACATCTATTTTGGGATGTAGTATAGTCAAGTGACAGTGGACTCAACTACATGAGATGCTAACTGCACAATAGCCTAATAATACTGTGCAGTAGTGTACCACAGCAACAACAGTGCTAATATGCTACTGCACAATATTATTAGGTTACTATGCAGTACCTTCACTAAAAGGCATTCACCAATGCTACCATGCAGTAACTGTGGTTACTGTGCATTTATGTAATACTTGATTATATAAGTACTAAATTAAATGTGCAGTAACCACTTCTTTTCATATGGTTTTAGGAGCAAGAGCTATTGTTGCAGTATTAATTCCAAATTCCCCAACCAAACCAATGTCCTGCCAGAAAGCAAGTATAACTCCAGGATGTCACCCTCAAACTTGTATCCGGAGCAGGATGTTATTATGTGCTTCATGGTTTGGTCATGGTTTTCACAGTCGCAGCCAGGCAAGATTTTTAAGCATCACTTGTACATCAGGTGGTCACACCAGCCATATCCAGTGTGTATCCTATTAAGGGTTGTCCACATGCTCTGTGGAAGTTGAAGCCCAGTTGTTACATTGTTGCGTCAAAGACAAGGTGTTTATTTGGGGAAGTGTTTTCTACCCAAGCTTTTCTCCAAGATTCTTCAGTGTTGCGATCATCGGCTGAAAGCTTGCCAGCACAGTCTGGGGTGCCAAAGTTGCTGTCCTCTGCACTTCTGCCATAGCCCTGGTCTTCTCAACAGCTGAGTACTGTGCACCTATCTGGACCTCAAGTAGACATACCAAACTCATCAACACACAAATCTACTCAGTAATGAGGATTCTCTCTGGAACTTTGATATCGACTCCAGTGCAGTGGCACAAACATTACTCCTCCCTCTATACGACAGAATGCAGCAACATATAGAGAAATAATGCATATCAATAGTAATCTGGACCTTCCCATCCACAGAGACCTTCAAGATCTCCCAATTTTTCATATAATTTCACAAAAACCTTTTTGGACACAAACCAAGCAGTAACCACTGTGCATTAATAAACGTGTAGACGTGCCCAGTGCAAGCATAATCTAAGAGAGCCAAGGTCTAGATTTTTCAAGTATTGATAAATTATGTTAACAAAACTAAGCAGCTGTGAGTTGGGAGCAAATGAATAGAGTACAGAACAGTGATATAATGTGTTCTTGTCACTTTATCCTACTTAGAGATCCCCTTTTCTTACAAAATTTGGTTGTGCACCTTTTGGGTAGTCCATTAGGATGGAGTATCCTAACCTGGAATTGAGAGAGGCTTGGAAAATAAGGGCATGGTCTGCATCTGAAACCAACTCTCAAATCAATCAAAGAAGTAAAAGACCTTCCAGGCACCTCTGCTGTCTAGGAGCTCAAACATAGGAATGAGACATATGATCCCCCAAGACTGAATATGGCTTCTGCTGCAGCCAACTGACCACCTTCAAATAAGAGCACAGCCACAGTACTTGGCACCAAACCACATCACCTCATTGTTATCTGGCCTTACACTGCCAGCTGGACTTCATCCACATTCTTATCTGAGCCAAATGCCAAAAAGTCAATGAAAGAGCAATACCTTAGCCCTACACAAAACAATGACGCATAGAGCTGAGTATCACCAGTACAATATACTAATGACGCTCTCAAAAAGTCACACAATCCCCTTTAGCAACCTTATGTAAGTGTTCAATATGTGGCATGATAGTGAAATGCTGTAGGAACTCACAGTAGATCATAATAACATAAGCATTATAAGACAATTTTCCTCCCCTTCCTTTCTCATTAAAACAAGAATAGAGACTGAACCAGAGTGAAGGAAAGTAAGTGGTGATGTCAGTTTAAAGGGATTTTGCCCCATCTTCATAATCTAAGTAGAGTATGCATGCTCTTCATTTCTCTTTCTATACTTGAGTAACAAAAATGGTGTTATTGTATTTTATATAGATATAAATCTCTATGTCTATATATATATATATATATATAGAGAGAGAGAGAGAGAGAGAGAGAGAGAGAGAGATTGATCGATTGATTGATCTACCTGCCTATCTATTTATCTAGCATGTGTATGGGTGGGAGGGCAGCTAGATTTTATTTGGATTTACATTTCTTCAACAGAATTGTTCACCATGCTCCAAGTGCACAATCTTTACTAGTGGTAAAGTTACACAGCAAAAGGAAGCTAGCTTGATTTTTATATCCAAAGCTAAATTTGCAAGGTGAAAGTTTAAAAAATAAATTGCTGTACATTGAATAGATTAGGTCTGGACTTACTTCAAGGCATTGAACACAGAACCACATTTTAACAGAATCACCTTTCAGATTACAATGCCAAGAGTCAACATTTTACAACCTGTGCTCAGGAACAAATCCCAAATAATGGGCTCAACCACTTCCCACCATATTCCAGTTCAGATCTGAATTAGAGGTAGTTGAATGGCCCTCCCAGTAGATTGAAAAGCCTCTATTTGTGACACAAAATAAGACTCAGCAGTGTAAGTCCTAGCCCTTGTGACCTCTTGCTTTCACAGTACATGAGTGGAACTGGAAAGCCTGTCCTGGGTTGAATTGATCTCTTCTGTGAAGTAGATGAAAAACTTTTAACAATGAAAAGTATTTGATGATGGAATGAGGTGGAGAAAAAGTCTGGGTTAAACACAGTGCCGGCCATTTAAAACAATCCAAACAGTCATACAGCAGGACACGTAGAGAGTTTGCAGAGAAACCTTTCCACCCACAAAGGGTAACATTAACCATCATCTTCCTTCTCCGCTTCACCTTTCTTATTGTGATAGGAATATGTTGTAATATATTGAAGCTAAAATGTGATTATGTCTGTACCCAATCTTGTTAGAAGTCAGTGGGAACTGAGGGCACTCAATTTGGCTATCAAAGCACAAATAGTCCACAGGGATCTCAAATAAAGTACTTCTCATTAGGCCAAATAAAATGTGGGTTATTGTTTTAGCTAAACATAGCAAATATTTGTTCAGAGATAAAAGGTATGTGGTTTTCTTACCAGTTTGGAAGTTATAAACATTCCAGGAACAGATTCAGAAATATCTCATGCCAAAGGACATACCATAAGGGCAAATCAAACAGCAAGTTTCTCCTCTTCATTCATTTCAAAGTAAGTGCCTCCTGAGAAATCATTTATCCATCCATAGTCACAAGAATGTTATAGCAGTGTTTTTATTAGGGCAAAGAGAGGAAATAATGTGAACTTGAACATGGCCAAGTTTAACTGTCAAATACATAAACAGAAAAATTTCTGAGAAAATTTTACCTCGCCCCACTTTATTGCACTGTCTCTGTTTAAAGAGACATTCCTATTGTATTACATCTACAGTGTCTTTGAAGAAAAACTAGAAGAGTTTCAAGTATGCATGCAGCATGCAGGAGATTTGTTTATACGGCTTCAGGCAAAATGTATTTTCAATTAGAAATCTCTAAATTCAGGTGTTTCTTTTTAAATTGTGGGGAATTTTTTCCCATAAAATCCCCACAGAATATTCCAGGATTAGTATGCATTCTTATGAAGATGACTATAAATTAGATACTTGGGAAAACTGCCTGGAGAGTTTTTGCCAATGTGTTCATAGCATTAGTTTTGCACTATACTGAATCAACAGACATATACCATTTTAATTTTGGACTATAATGTTGTGAGTCCACACATCTGGTAAGCATCAAATGGATCTCTCAAAATTACTGATAACATAGTACACTTGTTAATTATAGTCTGTTAAATGCCTGGAAAACAGAAACCAAATCAGAAGCAAGAACAATCTGAAATTCTGACAATATCTCCAAAAGCAAACTGTAAAACTGAATTCAAAAGGATTAAAAACTCTGTATTCAATCCTTTCCCCCCTCTTCCTCAGAGCATACCCACAATGTGAAGGAAAGCACAGTCCTGCAACAGGAGTTTAAAATAAATAATACTTACATAAACATCAAAGCACTTGATTCAGACTGTGGGAATATTTCCAGCTAATGGCAAAAAAAAAAAGCTAGTAGGACTGGAAAAGACATGAATACTAAACACTTCTTTGTTTAAAAAACCAACAGCAATAAAGACATGATACTACAAACACCATAAGATAAATCCAAGTAAAAACACCTGACAGTGCATAAATCAAGGTGTTAAACTTGGTGAAGAAGTATTGTAAGCATTAAGATGGGAAACTGAGACATTGGGTTTCATACACAATGTAATGATGGACAATATGCCACACATTTTAACATGGTCTTTTTAAATATAAAGTCCCAATCTTTTAAAACAGTCTAATATTTGTTCATTAACTCACATGTCCTGTTCTGAGTAGCACATTTCAGATTTTTCCTGGGGATACTATTGTAGGAAAATAAAACTCCAAAACATATTTTCAGTGCCATCCTCAAAGAACAGCAATAGAAACATGAGGCAGGTAGACCAAACTCAACAGAAGCAGATTGACTGCCGATGTCTCATTGAAGCACTCAGTAACATGTTCCTCATAAGAGCGAGTTAAAAATAAAAAGTGCTTTAAATTAGGGGAATCTCTGTTCAAGAGAAGCTGTGGGGCCAAAGCACACTTACACCATTGCCCGTAATCCTGGTTTGTGCCACAATCCTCTTGGCACTGTGCAACACCAAAAGCAGCAATGCCCTTCCTCTGGCACAGTCAGTGATGGCATCCCCTCCCATGTTCATCGTACTGCCCCTGATATGCAGGATAAGCAGGTGCAACAGGCACAGAAGCCCAGCACTGCTGACAGCACTGCTGTGAGCCGCGATGAGCGGTCGTACTTCAGGGCTTTCTTCACCTCGTCCTTGGACTGGGAGACATAATCGAGCGTGTTCATGATGTTGTACTCAATGTTGTTGATGATCTCCTGCTGCTCTGAAACCAGCACGTTCAAGTGAAGGAAGAGTGAGTGCAGCTCAGTGATCTGGACCTCCAGGTCTAGCAACTGCTGGTGACGCACATGAGCCATAGCCATGTGCTGCTTGGCTTTAAGTACTTCTAGGTCCTGGCCCACAATGCGGGGGCCCACAGGGCTTTCTACCAATTGATTAATGTCCTCTTCACGTAGGCTCAAGCCTGCTAGCTCTGTTTGCCTCATGATCTGCTCCTTCAGCTTCTCCACATACTGTGTCTCTTTGGCATAATGGCGACTGATGATGTCCCGGTAACGGCTGATGAGAACAGAGAGCTGGCTTTGGCGGATGCGGTGTCCTGCCAGCCACTGCTTGCTGTCTCGACCCAAGGTGTCTTGAATGGCATAGAGCTGAGGCTGGATGGCTTTAGCATCATTGGTGAAGGCGGCTGTAATGTTGCTGAGCTCCTTTTTTTCTTTAGAAATGCTCTCCTCAGTGGTACAGCACAGGACTTGCTGTTGTTTCCTGTCGATGGTCTCAGATAACTCCTCTAGATTATTCAGGGCCCGGGAAAGATCAGCCACTTCCTGGAATATCTTGCTCATGGGATCAGTCTCATCTTCCTTGAAAACAGGGTTATCAAATGAAAGGGCATCATCAATATCCACAGAATCCCTGTCATTGTGAACTCGGATTCTCAGCTCCTCTAGCCTGTCCTTCATCTTCAGCTCCAGCTGCTGGCGACATCTGTGGCAGAGGGACGCAAAATGTACACATCAGTTTTGAAAGAAGTAAGGGAGTTCTGACCTTTTGCGTCAGTGGAAGCTGTTAAAATCTTTCCTCCCAGAGCTAGAATAAATATTGACCAAGGTAATAGGTTTAACCAGAGTTTACTCTACATCATGGGGCTAATACCAGGCAGGTTAGATTGCTTGTCAGTAGTGGGTGGCACACTTTCACTGACATGCACAAACTGAAGGAACAAGCTTTGATACAGAAGTAGTGGGGGAAAAGATTAAGAAAGGAGAAGTGCCTGCAGCCAGGTGAAAATTGGAAGAGGGGGTGACAACATGCGAGTTCTGAAAATAATCACAGAGTTCCAACCAGACGAGACAAAATTGAATTACCTAAGACAAAGTCACTTTATGAGATTCTTTTAGACTCTCAAAGTACATGATCAATTAATGGATGTACCTGCTAGGATTTTTTCCAGCTTGGAAACCAATTCTGTGGATCCTTTCTAGAATATTTTTTGTTTGTAAAATGGAAAAACCTGACTAAAATCCAGTTCCCTGCAGTCATAAACTGTGAATCATTCAAGGGAGCAGAGAGGTAGCAGAGAAAGAGAGAAAGAATAGAAACAAGTTTATGTTTATGACATGCCCCTCTGTCCTTACAGATTGTGCAGGAGGTGCATGCTCATCCTCGCTGCTCTAGGGCTTAAGAACAGGAAGTTAGCCAGATGCTGCTTCTCTTTTCCACAAAGCACATTGTCTCCGTTTCACTGAATCCGTTCACCTGACACCACTGCCTATTGACTTCTCCTATTACATTCTCTTTTGCCATAATGCCATGGGACAGGAGTTAATTCCCTCTTCCTGTAAATATTCTTTAGACTTGAGTTTTACTTATCATCTAAGGTACTTAAGACTTAAGACTACATAGACAAACCCACAATGAGCAGTCATGCATTTCAAAGTTCATGCAAGTCTCAAGCCAGAGCTGTGGCAGCATTCCAATCACTGAGATCTGAAACAGAGCATCAGTTTTCTTTTGGTGAATGGATAATTTTCTGCATTTCTTTCCATGGGTTATGATAAAATTCATAGATAATGATCCTTGGTTTTAGTGAAACAGGATGATTGTAACTTGCAAAACAAAATTATAATGTCTTTGCAGTTATCAGGGGCTCCCAGAGCATTTTTCTAATATCATTCAGTTAAAGACCTGATCCAAAATACCATTGACTACACTGAGCCTTGGGTCAGACCCTGAGCATCTAAACACTTCTGGAGACATAGGCAAATAGTAGTTATAGTAGTACTAAAAAGCAACACAATAAGGTTACAGCAAGTCCTGGCTCCCATGCCTCTCCCTTAATTAGTTACTTTATTTTTATACCCATGTATCTGAGAACAAAATAGGACCTTGCATATCTAGCAGGCCAGTGTGGAAGAAAAAAGCACGTATTTTGTCCTCTGCCTTAGCAACTTGAGTTGAACTCTATGTGAAACCCATTTTTCACTGGGTTTCTAACTTCACTGTGGATAGTTGTGCCGAAATGTCCTGGTTTACATGCAGGATAAATACATACTGAAAAGAGGAGTTTAAATATGGGGGAAGAAACAGCATTATCCCTAAAACCCCAAAACCCCACAACCTAATAAAAACATTAAGGAAGAGACTATTTAAACGCTTAGGCATTCTAATATTTTTGTATGGCTATGATCATGCAAAAATGAATGATAAATTAGGTAAAGGTATGCATGTGCACAAAGAATAAACCTAACCTCTTCAAATGAACCATAATGAGTATAATAAAGGTCTGTTTGTAAATTGCCTGCATGTTACCACCCATCTCAAATCTGTTAAAGTGCCCTGAAAAACAGCTCTCAATAACAATCTGATATTTGGATTGAAAAATATCAGATGGAGATAAAATTGGTGGTTTCATCCACCATTTTAAAAGGCTGAAAGAATTGAGAGGGAGAACTGCTGATGGTATGATCACTGGCAATTATCGGGAATTTCAAACAATGGGTTCAGAGATTCCAGGTGAAATGACTGCTTGAAGACCCTAGCATTTTGCAGTTTCATCTCTAAGCCACTGAATCAGATCATACCTATTTTCAATGTGACTAATTCCTAGCATAATGCTACAGAAATACTACTTAAACAATGATAGATGTAGTTTTAACACATTCGTTTTTATATTGCTTAGTTGTGGTGGGACCTTTCCACACAGAAAAATATATTCCCTGGCCTCGTTATACCACCTGCAATTCTGTGGATGAGAGAGGACCTTTCAAAGGCAACCGAGCATTAGTGCATGTGCTTACCATTAAGTGCCTGAGGAATCCTACTCTGGTTTGTTTTGCTTGAATGTTTTAGCACCTTGCAAAATTGAGTACTATGGGCACTTAACACGTGCAGCAAGGCTGCTCCAACACACTGTAATTAATTGAGTCTGCTGAAGCGTGGTAATTACTGTGCTCCAGCAGACTCCAACATCATGTGTATCAGCATCCCTGTGCTGAAAAATGGCAGCAAGGATGCTTTAATAAAGCTCGTTCAATGAACTTCAGTTGAAGCACCCTGTTTCCATTTTTCAGCATGGGGATGGTGATACACATGATGCTTGGGGCCCTTTAGTTACAGCAGATCTTGGAGCCACTCTAATTAAAGCACCCCCCCACCCCCCGTCTCCCCTCCCGAAGCACATCTATAAATGCCCTTAAGGTGTACACAGAAGTGCAGCTTCCCAGTCTAACTCATGGCATTTCACAGAAAGCTGTTGCATCAGGAGGGTGGGGGATCAAGCTCCAATTTTAACCTAATTTAGGGAGGGAGACTGCATCTCTCCAGCCTCTTCCCCCAGCTCTTCCCCCCTCTCCTGTCCCCCCCAGTGTTGTCTCAGAATAGGAGGGGGAGAAGGTAGAAGTGGGAGGTCTGTTCTGGGGTTTCCTCAGCTGGCCCTGGAGGGGAAAATTGTCACTTCTGCCTGTACCTTGAGTGATTTGCACAATGTCATTATCTTTGCTTGATTCAGCAAAATACTCAAACACATGGTTAATTTTAAAATACACAAGAAACCATGAACCTCACTGGGATGATTCATATGTCTAGAGTCCCACATTTAAGGATTTTATTGGATCTGGACAACAGTAAGACACTGGCAATTTGGTGCTGGCACACCCAGGAATCATCCACAACATCTCTCTGCTTTCCTGTATTACTGGCATTACACCTGGGATGAACCTGAGTTAATGTCTGCTGTGACCGACAAGTTTCTTGCTGTCCAGGTTCACTGTTCACTCCATCATTCCTGTGAGAGTGAGAAGACCCAGTGGAGAAGAGTCTGATTTGCTAACTTAGCCATCTGAATCAGTGCAGAAAATGCCACTAGGATTCCTTCTTCAGAATGTTCTATTACATATATGTATATCTATGTACATGTAGAAGAACATTTTGAAGAAGGAATCCTAGTTGACCACACACACACACACACACACACACACACACACACACATACTGTATATATGAGACAGAGAGAGATGAACCAGGAGATATCTATCTATCTATCTAGACATAGATAGATAGATAGATAGATAGATAGATATTTCCTGGTTTATTTAAATATAAAAACAAAATACAAAATATTGTTATATATAACAATATATATACAATATAAAACAAAAAGGCCAAATAAATGATAAACTGATACATTCCAAATGAGTTCAAAGTCCAAGATATATTCCCAATGAGGATTAGTGCTGGAGATGGGAAAGAATTATTCATACCAGAACTCTAATCTGCTGCACACAACCCCCAAAGTTAGCTAGCTGGCAATTTGTTCTCTTTATTGCTAGCTGGGGCCATCTCTGACATACAGAGGGAATCATAGTGAATTACAGGATGAGTTTTCTCAGAGCTATTGTATATATGCTTATTTTCTGACTGAGAATGGTACAATCCAAACAAGGGGGGGGGGGGGCACGTTCTCCACCTATTGTACATTCCTGTCAAATTCTGGCCTCTGCCAGATATTAATAAGACCCTGCAAAATGCAGGCAGCCTCATGGCATGCTGTAGGTGCTGGCCATATTTAAGTGCT